GGGGGGGGTGGGGGACTGTCAATTATTCGAGATGGCCGCTAAACGAACAAACAGTGAAAATAGAGGAAACATTATCGCGGACGCCGCCGTCGGCTCTGCTGCCGTCGCCATGCCCGTCCCCATCATTATCATTCTTACAACCGTCCAAGGATTGTCGCGTCATGGGCTCCCAAACCATCCTCATTTCGATTTATAACCTAAACTGCAGACGCATAAATGTTGGAATGCAAACGAGTCAGTTTATTTTTCTACACTTTTCCCTCGTGTCTTACCTTGTTAAGTATTCCTTTCCCTACGCACCTAACTGAATCATGGGGATTACTTCTTATACCTTTTCTGAGTGTGAGACCTAAGAGGATCTGCAGATCCCTGAACGGCTCGTCCTGCTCGGGACTTATCGCCATCACGGCAGCAGAAGTTACCATGGCATCAGCCTGGTTCACGTTTCTTGGCAACAATGTATCTTCCACTCCAGGCTCCCCCGGTTGGTGGTCGACTCTCTCATTTTCGGTCGGTGACAGAGCCATCACACTGTAGGATGGCTCTTTCAAGGACGGTTTCTTGCGCCAATAGTCAACTGCCACGTTGCTGATATATTGGGGTGTGACCTCTTCAAGGTCCGACATGACGAGAGGGTCCTCGGCGGGATCGTGCTTATGATGGCAACAAGAGAGGATTGGAAAGAAGTCTCGGCAGCCGATTCCTTTGCAACCAAGTGACCCAACACTCTTCTTTGTAAAGAACGCTCTCTGAAGCCTCCACCTGAAAGTCCACAAGTTACCATCAAAATTAAGATAATTCGTAACTGCAAAACAGTCCATTCATTAGGGAGGACGCGACGTCCTAGAGTTGATATGTTCGGACCTTGAACGAACGTGAACATTTCTAGTGAAACCGGGAGGAGAAGTCTCTTGGACACAGGTGAGCCTCGCAATTCATCAGGACGATTCCCTCAGAAACTTCAATTCGTCATAGTAATACCCGCAACATCTCCGCATCTTGGGATGGTAATAATAATAATAATGATGATGATAATGATGATGATGATTATAATTATAATAATTATAACGATATAGATATTTATATAGAGCCTACCCAAGAGGATAACTTAGCACTGTTCCCTAGTTCTTAGATTTTGTTTGGTCCACCAGAACGTTGTCAAAAAAGAAATTAATTTTTGGACTTATTGCACCAAGGGCGTTCGGGTTGGCTCGCGGAATCCATTTTTTCATATTATGTAAAAGAAAAACGCGTACTGTTTAGATAGGCAAGTTAGTAACTTAACACCACTACTTACTTGTAATAAGTAAAAATTGCCGTCATGCTGAACATGCCAAAATAAGGACTCAGCCAGATGAAGCCTCCAGAAATTAACAGGAGTTTGTAGAAAAGGTGTTCATCGTAAGCAATGCCAATCACCTTAGTCTGGTACACTCGCCACTTCACCACGAAGGCGTAGAAGTATAACACGAGAGCTAGCGAGGCTTTCTTTCTCAGAGGCGGAAATCCGAGCCAGAAGAACAGACTTAGCACGATCACCATGGTGTTGAGCCAGGAAGGTAAAACCTCAAAGAACTGCTGTATCAACCAAGGCATAAAGGTGAACATAAACACCACTCCACTTAAAACCTGGAAGAATCGAGCAATCGAGCGGAATCTTATCGGAGCGACAACCTTGATGGAGTAAAAGACGATGAATGTTATGGACAGCAGAAAGAACAAGATAAATTGTTCTCGTACCTCCGGGTCACTGATGGCAAATTCTGCTGTGCAGTGCCTTTCTGTGGCAGAACTGTTGGTAGCACTTCCGGTTGAATTCATGGGCACGTCGATGCACTTGAAGCCTTTAAGCATGACCCTGCCGAGCACGTAGTCGATGACGTAAGCAGCGGTAAAAGCTCCAACGCTGTACATGACACAAGGGATGACAAGGTTGACCGTGATTAGCAGTAGAACGAGTATGATGGTCTCCACAATTCCTTGAAGGGGTCTTTCCCAGTTACAAACGTAGCCAACCCTACTACGCATGTCCTCGAAGAATTTTTTATGCCATTCGTGGCCATCTTGTTGTTTGTGTCTGTATTTCCAGTCCAGGTAAGATGCAGCGACATAATTCCCGCCAGACACACAGCTAACGTAGTCGATTTTGACTCCGCGGTGAAGAAGCCTTCTTAACACGCCGGAACTGAATGCGGCCGAACGAATCCCACCACCGGAGCAGGCCAGACCAATCCTCTCCTCTGACATGATGTAATAATCTTATTAACCCTTGAAAAGAAGTTGAAAAAAATCGATTACTTTTGATAAACTGAATATAAATCGAGTATTTAAATTAATTTAAATGACTTATTTCATTTCATTCCATATATGCGGATTCGTGGATTTTGAAAATACAGCTGAACTTGGATCAGCTGTGCTTTTGGCGCGGATTCCTGACTCTGCCTGTCTTGAAGTTCAGATTCCGGATCCTAAACGAGGCTCGAATATCTTTCGTCAGCCTTGGTCGCGCGGCCGTTTTTTCCTCGCAGTTTTCTTTCGCGAAACGCATGACGGACTAAGAGAAAGAGGGACTACTTGTAGTCTATGGTTGCTATGTAAGTTTTTCATCCAATTTACTTCTAGTTCACTTAGGTTTGACATTGTCAGTGGAATTGTACGTATTTCTACACCCCCTCGGGATCCGATGCTAGTTCCTCTCTTATTGTCACGTTCTAGCTAGGTTGACTTTTTCTGTCGGCCCAACTAGAATAGGAGGAATCTAGGAAAGGAATCTAAGTTTACCTTTGCCAGTTTTTGAGCATTCGTACTTCGTTTCGTTTTTATGAAATGTTTCATTCAGTAGCTCGATTCGACATAGCGCGCGAGTGACGAGTTTCCGCATTGTCCCATGGGAACATTTGCTACACAGGCTAGACTCCACGCATTTTTTTGTAAATGCCCAATATCTCTCTTAATCTTCGGTCATGAACGGTTTCAACGCCTTTCATTATCATGTCACAGGTCACAGATGTAACTTTAGGCTGCAAATTCAGAAGGAGTATTCCCCTTTTGTGTTACTCTTCCCTAATTCAGTCGAAAACTAGACTCAAACACTCTGTACAAATTGTTTTTGCATCGACAAATTAAAGATGCCTTTAAACCTCTCTCCAATCATTTTAATCTCCCTGGCCATTTTTGATTTTCATATTTCAGTAATTTTTCACCCGCGCGAGTTGCGAAGCCGTAACGGATGATGGTAAATTATACAGGAGCGATTATCAGATATTTATTATACATAGAACCTGTTCAAAAGGGTCTACTATTAAAGAATAAATATCTTGCGATATTCGTACTCAAGCATTTATTAACATGGGAACGCTACTTAGTGATGATCAATCAACTTACCGTAATTATTCTCTCCTGTTTCAGTTGTTTAGCTTGTCAAGGACCTAAAATTTGAATACGCTACAATGCAGGTCTTTATATCTTACTCCCCTGACCTCGCTCTCATGGAACATCGGAGCGAGGCTACTACTTCCCGTTATTTTCTAATCGATGACGTCATTTTAAAAATGAAGAACACTACCGGCCATTTTAACCTTCTTTGTATAATGTTTGCTTTTTACCAGTAAAACCGTAGTATCCTTGTCCGTGCACGTTTGTTGTATTTTTGTGTCTACTTCCCTTCACGGAAACTCCGGAAAAGGTGTTTCAGTGACGTGCTTCTTACCGGAAGTTGTTCCAAGCGTGATGGATGGTCAAGCAAAGGTTACTTAGACCCAAGGGAGTAGCCACTTTTTTCGAATCTTTAATGTAACTTGCTTATCTCTTAAACTCGATCTATTGGGTATCTTGTATACATGTCGAGCTGGCAAAAAAGGAAACAAACTACTTCACTTTCACTTTCAAGCTTGTCACGCACTGTGATTTTTAAAGTAGGCGTGACAGGTTCTTTCAGCATACAATTTTATTAAATTATTAAATAGGTTAAAAGCAATTCACTTAATTGCAAGACCTTTTATAATTTTAGAATCGTTCTTGCATGCTGGTTTGGTGGTCTCTCGACTCAAAATGCAACAAAATGAACAGTCTTTTGTGTACAGTGAAACTAGTTGAATGAGTGCAACACAAACACGCCCAGAGCGTTTTGGCCATTTAGAAAAACAATGCTGACGGCGACAAAATGGATCCGGAATTTGAGGAAAGATGATATGATGCGGCAAAGAAAAATCAGGGAAACGTCCCGAAGGTCTGATCGCAAACTAGACAGTGATGCGAATGAGCGATTATCCAACGTCTGACCAGATACGAGACCGAGACAATTATATCATTGTTTTCACAAGTACAATTTCACTAACTAAGCGTAACTGTTGGACGTAGATTTAGCTACAAGAGGAAGAGGATTACTCGTAGGCCCAATAATAGCAATAATTCGCAATATCTCCATTTGAAACAACAAGAAGTCAAAAGAGACCTGAAAGAACAAAGCTACAAAGAAGAGCTAAAAAGTGTTACCTGCCGTCAGTATGTGTGAATTCCTTTGGAAGATCGTCTCTATATAAAGATAATAACTGGAGTTGATCTTAAGTAATGTGATCCAGCTGTAATTGACTTAAAACAATCCCTAGATCGCTTTCTCGAATTACCGATCGTGTTGATTATCTACGCGTTTGCCATACTCGACATACTTGACTGCATGCATGTCGACAATCCAACTATAAAATGCTAATTCGGTTGGTCAGTTTCCAGAGGCTGATTCAATTCATTTTCTCTTGCAATTGGTCTTGGTCATGTCTATTTTGACTGCAAGTGCGATTTTAAATAACGCAATCTCACCGAAGGTGATAGGGTATGTTTCGTGACGTCTGTCACACAGTCGGCAGCAAGAGANGGGGGGGGGGGTAGGCGCTAACGGGACGCGGGCTCTGGAAACGAGATTGGCTGGGCGTCGGCCGGGATATATCATTCTTTAATAAAATTTGAGAATGCTGGGGACAGTCACATCACTCAGGGGATTCTCCACACCCGAAAACCCTTGGCCAAGGAGAGTCTGCTGAATTCGCTCTTAGTCATGACCTTGACCTTCACAGAGCTTTACGGTACTTTTTTCTGCTTGTGCAAGCCTTTAAAGATATGTACCTTGATGAGTAAAGGGTCACTAAAATGCTAAAACATTCACAGTTTTGTCCTGAACAAAATCCACAATTTGCATACCAAGACGAGGATCCCCGCTCCTTTTGGCGTTGTATCAGAGTTCCAACAAGTCTCTTCTCTTTGTGAAATATTTATAGTTCTTTCCCCGCTGAATATCTGGATAAGAGGAGCCTAATCACAGGTAATACTGCCCAGAGAAAAGTCATGTAGTCTTACATAGAGTACATAACGACCCGTTCACAAAAGGCTCGGTTACCAAGCAGTCAAAGATGGCGACGAACCGATTTCATGCATGTAATGCACTTTCCATTTCCGCTTCAGAATTTATGCAGTGAAAATTTTTACATCGGTATAAAGTAGTCTCGACGTTCGTTATTGGAGGCTGGAAGCACTTATTTACAGACGATGTAGTTCAATTAGTTTAATGTCGAGTATGAGCGAAAAAAGTCAGCTCCTGTTTGTTCTGGTGTTGTTGACGTTCTTTTCGTTGTTACAAAGGAGCACTTACGGTAAGAAAAAAAAAGTATATGCTTGTTAAACACTCCAGAAATATGTGAAAGTATCTAAATTTTAAGACCAGGAAATCATTCGACAAATGTAAGGGCCTGCATTGATTTCTAAAATGGCATAACCTTTATTGGAAAATAAGCTTAATATAAGCTTAGGGAGCAACTTCAGAATACCTCGCCACACACGCCCTCCCTAAATCTACTGCTCCCGTGGTCCTTGGTCCGTACTTGGCTAGTGAGTCAATATGTATTGGCTTGGTGTTAAACTGAAGTGCTACCAAGCTCCGCAGTCCCATAGTAGTTGACCTTAAAATTAGGTTAGTATTGTAAACTACTGCAACCGCGGTCCGCAGTCCCGTAATGCTTGCATGGCTTTCTGCAGAGGCGTTTCAGGAAATCGTATCACTTGTCTGCAGAAGTTTAGAGAACAAAGTATACATTGAGTGTATTCTTCTTGTTTTGTTTGCATGCATGCTTAGGTTACATTTCAGGAGAATGGAGGAGTTTGTGACTGCGGACCGCCGTAGCAAGATTTGATGAGTATTTCAGTGGCAGGGTATTCTGAAGTTTAGCCAAGCTTAGTTTTTGCTAATAAAGCATTTAATTTGGGTCACGTTGCAGCTCTCATAAGGTCTCACATGAATGGATTGAAACCCTTTGAAAGGACAATAGAACAAACAACAGAAACGATGCCCCCTAGCCCCAAAACAATAACAGCTGCTGCAATGACGACAAATAGAATTACAAGCTTACAAGAGCTGCCACACTACTGTTTAATTTACCATGCATTTATTGATGGCGTCATTTTCAGGTGCATCGGAATCCTGTCCAGGTCAATATTGTGGAAGAATTGTTGAAGACAATGGGAAACTTGGTGATTGTGGGGTAAGTTTCAACTATTTGTAATAAGCAACAATTTGACAGAGCTGTTTCACTTGAACTTTAACATGAACTTTATTACTTCCATCACTTTTAATACAGTATAAACTTTTTATAAAATGTTAAGTAACAAGGTTTAAAATCAAACATAATAAGGAGTCAATAGAAAAGCAGAAATGCGTGTACAGTGGAGCCCCACCTTAATGGCGACCCTGTAATTACTATTAATACAGAGGAGATGGACCAGGGGTCTTGGGATCTGGCAAGGACAGACCAATAGTATTTCTCCATTAGCATGATTACACAACTTATTAGATGTAAAATTTTGCAGAAAGCTGTATAGATTTTACGGCACTTATGAATATCTGTTGATCTTAGTAGTTAGCTACTGTACAGGAATTGACTAGCAGTTTTTATATAATTTTGCAGCTTCCATTTACATGAAAATGAACCAGTTTAGTTGGAACACATTTTCATATAATTGGTTTGGCACAAAGACCCATTTTGACACACAGGCCAAAGGGAACTTGGAAATGGTCCATGGAAAACCACTCCAGTAGAGTACACTACAGTGGAACTCCACCTTACGGTCACCTCAGTAATACAGTGTATAGTCACCTCATTATTATGTCCCGGCAAAACATCCATACATTTTCTAAAAAGAAAACCCTACGATGCACCCACACCATTAATACAGCCAACGGCCACATTCTACAATCCAAATCAGTATAATCCTTTACAATTTTACCTCATTTATACAGCTACTCAAAACAGTTATGTTCATCTTTCTGTTGTTAATAGTGTATAAAATGATTGAAGTTTGATTTTTTAAAAAATTATACTTGTAGCTTTATGCAGTTGTTAAGAAGTGCAATTGTAATATATTTGTTAAGATGTCACTCAATTTAGACCAGTCATGAAATTTGATCCTACCCCATTACTACAGTCACCCCATTATTACCGCCAAATTTTTATGGCCCATTCGTGACTATATAAACATGGTTCTACTGTACTGTTAATCATCCTAACACACATAGAGCAGCATTGTAACATGTAATAATACCTATTCCAGGCTTGTCCAAGAGGTTACGGCACCAATGGCACAGTTTGTTTGGAGTGTTCATCATCTCCCGATTTGTACGATTGGTTATATCTTGGGTTTATGGCATTTTTGTCCCTGATATTTCATTGGTTCTTTATTGACTTCTTTGCCAAGAGGGACAGAAAAAAGTATGTTTTAATCACTAACTATACCATTCATAGCAAGTAAAAACATGAAAATACATGTATATTCACTGCTGTGAGCTTAAGATCACAATTATATTGATATTATTCAGTAGTTTATTGAGGGAATGTACTTGTCCCGGTTGGCAAATGAAATTGCTTTGGTGAAAGGTAAAATACCTGAGCGATAGTGATTGTCACCACCAAGTACTTCTTAAAGGAGCTCAGTCACGGTTTGCACATTTTGAAAAGTTAAGCCTAAATTTTTCAAATTTGTCTTTTGCAATCCGTGTCAATCTTTGCCATCCTTGACCATCCTTGTTCCTTTACAGTTTATTATTATCTCTTTGATGTTTTTCTATCTTAGTAAACTATTATTTTCAGATTTCCTTCCATTTAAAGGAGATTTTGTACATGGCCAAAAAAAGGACAAAATACTGTGACTGAGTTCCTTTAAATATATCTTATTAGGCTTTTTAGTAATATTATTATTATACCACATTATTATATCACAATATATTTTTACAAGTCACTCTAAAATATGAGATTTATTACCCTGCCAATATTGTTACAAGTAACTTGTTAAACTGATCTTGAGTACAAATATTTTTGGATCAGGGTGTAATTTCAAATGGGGGACTGTCATCTTTGTTTGACAGTGTCATGGGGGATGTCTTGGGGCATGCTCC